ATGCAGCATATTACTCCAATGATGAAATATATCTATCTTAAGCCATAAGCCTTTTCAGCAAAACACTGGTTCTCTAGTTCAGGGAAAGGGTTTTTATGACATCCAGTGATTAAATGAATCTGTCACAGCAATCCTTCTGAACTTGAGGTCCAGTATTTTTCTAATCAGGCATCGAACAACTAGGATCTATAAATATTATTATTATTTATAACACAGCAGAGATGTGAAAATTATATACACTGACATCATTATTCTAAATGTTCTGTGTCTCTTTTTTAAGACGAGGCAACGCACTGAAAAAAAATGTCTATTCCCTCTGATGCTCGAACAGTATAACCTTATTTTGTTCCTCAACAGTCCAGTGTCATCTCTCTCTCTCACTCTCTGTCTCTCTGTCATTAAATATTGACTGAAATTTCACTTGCAGTCCTGGTTGTGATTTCAGTACAATCAGTTTCCTGTTTTAAGATGTGTGCTCTGAGATTAAGAACCAGTTTTAAATTAAATATTGGGTTAGGCCTACTGATTTTACGATGAGCCAACTTGGCTACGTTCACATTACCAGGCTGAAGTGGCACAAATCTGATTTTTTGCCCTAATGTGACTCAGATCTGATGTTTTCAGCACTGTGTGGACATGCAAGTCTGATCTTTTCAAATTCGACCTGAGTCACTTTAATATGTGGTTCTAGATTGGATACGTATGCGGTTTGTGGCCATGCGACCTTAATGTGACGCTCAGATCAGAATTCATGTGCTTCTTTTCCACTGCGCATGCGCCATCATTCAGCGTTACCATGGCAGCAGCGCCGAACAGAAGTTAAAGCCTGTAAACGGTGGAAAAGCAACACATCTCATCCTTTTCGTCTTGCTCTAATAATGAAGCTGAGAGCTGATCAGAGTTAATTATCTTCTCAGCGAAGCTCGTTCTGCTCGTTAGTTTGCTGATGATTCGCGTGGCGCACGTGATGCATTCACATGACGTTAATGAGTAGGATGTGCGCATGTGGTTCATTTCAGGACGCCAGTTTGTTAACATTAATGACAGATTTGAATCACTTACCTAAACGAGTGTGAACCATCATGTCAGAGAGATCAGATTTGAGCAAAAAATCGGATTTGAGCAACGAGGCTTGCAATGTAAACGTAGGCCTTGTTTGAAGTAACAGCATAATCCTTACACCACTGGTAGTAAATCATTTCCACTTAAATTAGTGATTTGTTTTCTTGTTCCTTGGCCTTCATTGGTTCAGTGTGTCAAAATTAAGAATGTTAAAACATGTAATTATTAGTTATTTGCTAATTTTCGATGTGCTTATTTCTGTGCTGTACCAAGTCTGATCTCAAGTAATTTGATCTAAAAACCGGCACTTTCTACTTATTTCAAACCTTACAGCACTTATCAGAGCCTATTTATTTCCAGTCTGAAATCAACTTATTTTAAGTGATGTCATGTCAACTAAAGTTATCTTGCTGCATGGACAGATAATTTCACTACTATTAAGTCATTTCCTCCTCAAAGTCAGTGTTTATTCTTTATTTCAGCTACTGTTTTTTTCAGCGCAGAGGAACTGATGCTTGCTAATGCATACATACATAGGGAAGCACATTATATTGGTATTAAAAAAATGCTAATCCAAGTAGATTTCATTCCAGTTTCTACATTTTACAAACGTAAAAACGTTCAAATGTGCATCATTAGATATGTACATGAAAACATCAGCATCAGCCCACAATTCCAATATTGGTGGATCCCTAAAAATTATGCGATCACACATACTTACTAATCCACAGTGGCTCAGTACACATTACAAGCATATCACTGTTGTCGAAAACCTCGAATCTCCAAAATGGTAACTTTACAGGAGAAGGAAAAAACCTACTTTACTTTTAATGCAAGTCAGTGGAACCAGAGTTTTTTCCCAGTCATTTTGGGCCGTTTCTTTTGGTTCAGTCTTCATGAAATTTGCCCACAATGTAAAGGGCAACAGGTATTTTCAAATTATGTAAAAAACTGAAAAACTACAAAAATGGAGATATGAGGTTTTCCTCCGACAACAGCGATGTGCAGTTCAGCGATAAGGTACATTAACAAACACATGCTTTTTAGCTCACACCAGAGTATCTTATTCCCCGCCATGTTGGTCAGACTATAAACAAAACAATTCTCTCTGACTGCTTCTAGGCTGCATCTCAAGGGATTTGGAGTAGGAGGCTGCCGCTGAGTCCGCATCGATCCAGTCTGCGCCAAATACTGCAGTACGGCCGCATATAGGACGCTCACGAGTGCACCTTTGAATGGCAAAGTGAGAAATGGGGCACAATACAGCTTTGCTGTGCTGGTAGGCACGAGAAAGGTTCAACAAATGGGACAGCACTTAAAACTTCACTTCACACAATAACCACATTTGAAAACACCAGCTTACTGGAGTAAAGACAGACATTGTTTCTGAGGTGTATGGGATATTTTGGCCAAGTAAAGTCACATGGCCTTGCGCACGGCTCCCCAGAGAACAGAATATATTCCCGCACAGGTAACCCTGAAATCTGAGATGAAAGGAATCATTTCCTGAAGAATGTAATTAAATTAAAGTTCCCTTTTTTCACTGCTTAGGTTAGTGCTAACCAGTACATTGTGTATGGGTGAACAGACGTCTATTAGGGTCACAAAATTGATTTTTAGTTTCACTTTAGCGGTTTTTGGTGGTGCACAGGTGTATGCAAATGTTCTGTTGATTAATGTTTAAAACACTGTGTAAGGGAGGAAAGATCCAAACGAGTCCAGTGAAAACAAGCCATGCAGGTTAAGACATCATATTAGCACAGAGCAGCAGCATTTAGGAAACACGGCTGTGTTAACTTTCATCAATAAAGGATAGTTTCAATATCATCTACTACCATCATATATTTGGAACTGCCCAGCAATTCAATACCTGATCAATTCAGGACCTACCCTGAGTGCGCTGGACATGTGACATACGACGCTGTAATTGGGATTTAAAATGCATTTCTAACACAAACTATGATTATTTTGACCTTTGCCTGTCTTATCAGCGATTGCATTCCATTTCACAACCTTCCCGGAAAAGACTGCATGCAAACGCGCATTCGATTGGATATTTAGGCCAAGAAAAGTCATGTGACCTTGTGTGTGGCTGTCCAGAGCTAAGAGTGTATTCCCACACAATTAACTCTGAGTTTTTTATGACAGAGCTCAAACACACCACAGCAGGGAAGAGAGACAGAGCTGATAGCGCACTCACGTCAGACCTTGCCCAACAGCCTACTCAATGAATGGCTTCCTATTTTCTCACTTGAGTGTGAATAATCATACTACTACAACATACGTGTTTGTGTTGGCAACCAAAATGTCATAATTAGATGGTGTTTTTTGTTGGAGGGGAAGACGTGTAGAGTGTAGGACAGTACACATGATGTGGGGGGGGGGTTTAGGGACAGTTCAAACAGTCCCAAACTAATCATCAGAGACCTACAGACAGCACAATATAACATCACAACACTTGTGATGTGAAATACAACATTTAGTCAGCAATGGGCAAAACGCACCAGCAAAACAGTAGTGCTGCAATTGTACACGGAGTAATACAACTGTTTCTGTTGTTTACAGGCTCTATATAATTGATCTAATTTTGTCTATATTATGATATATGCAGTTACTCACAATACCAGTGATATAATCAAAAAAAAGACAGTACTGTTCATTTTTAAGGTGAAATTCCAAAGTTATTCAGAACAGTGTGATTTGAAATGCATTTTTGTGAAGCTATTTAGAATTACTAACAGTAGTTGTGATGGGAACCAGACGTCTGAAGCATTTAATGCTAAAAACAACCCCTCACACAAAGTGATCACAGGAAATGGCTAAGAATATGACGATTTTGGCAGAGGGGTATACAAATAGTCCCCAAAGAAAACATTTTTTTTTTCCAGATTCATCACTATTTACCATCATCAACATTACACAAAAACCCAGAAGACAGGTGTAGATTCACTGGTTGTTTTGGATTGTAAATAAAATGATTATATTTGTGTTATAGACATCAAAACCCCTGTACAGCACCGCTATAAACAAATCTGAGTCACAAAGTTTCTCTATAATGAACCATTTCACATCAAACCACCTCATGTGTTTGTGACATGATTAAGACTGACCTGCATTGTTTTGACCAAGATTTGGATCACATGACCCCCTGGATTCATCAAAACAACCACAGAGGCACTCATTAGGGACCTTTAGTGATTGGTTAGAAGGCTAATTTGCATACCGCAGCTGTCTGTAACAAACAGTACACTTTTAAAAATAAAGGTGCCAAAAGGAAGCTATTTCAGAAGCACTTCTGGGTCCCTAAAAACCTTTCAATGGGTGGTTCTTTAAAGAACCATTCTTACAAATGAAAACTTGAAGAACTTCACATAATGTAAAGGTTCCACTGACTTAGACATACAGATCTAGGAAAAACCTGCAGTAGATACAGAACTTTAACATTACTTGGGGGTTCTTCAAACTCGCATATCTAATTTACAAAAACGCTTCTAGAAAGAAGCGAAAGTGGTTCTTCAGTGGTGGTCACCAAATCTGTTCCAGGAGATCGACCTTCCACCAACTGACTTTAACTCCAAGCCCCACTTGATTCATCTCATTATTGCAATGAGAAGTTCTTGGAGGATGGTGACCAATGTTCTCTGGCAGCGGTCACCAGCTCTCTTCCTGGAGACCTACTTTCCTGAAGAGTTTGGTTCCAACCTGCATCTGTAACATGCTTTCTCAACTTCTGACAAACTGATTGGAGCTAGACTCTCCAAGAAGGTAGATCTCTAAGACCAGGCTTGTTGACCGCTGTTCTACGTCATCGCTCCCAAGAGCTGTTTCAGCACCTTCATTTTTAAGAGTGCATCGCAAAAGGCCAGTATCACAATAGCAATTAGCCAATGACATCGTGCAGCTCTGTTCATGACAGCCCAGCAATGTGCCTCACTTACTGTTGTTCGATTTGAGGTCACGGTGGATGACCGGCACTATGGCCTCGCTGTGCAGGTACAGCATTCCACGGGCGATCTGCACGGCCCAGTTGACGAGGACATGCGGAGGGATGCGTCTGCCGGCCAGCGCGCGGCTCAGCGGCCCTCCGGAGGCGTACTCCATGATCAGGCACAGGTTGGGCTCCTGCAGGCACACCCCTTTGAGGGCGATGATGTTGGGGTGTGTCAGCATGGCGAAGAGCCGCGCTTCATTGCGCACGTTTTGTGCCGTCACGCTGATATCCTCGTCCGGATCCTGACGGGCCGCCTTGACGGCCACCAGCTCCCCTTTCCAGGCGCCCCGGTACACTTTCCCAAATCCGCCGACCCCTATGACCTCCTCCAGTTTCAACTCCCGGAAATCCACCACCTCGGGCTCAAACTGCAGCTCGTGCGCTACGCCACTTACGTTAGGGGCCAGGTTGCTGTAGCCACCAGGCTTGAGCGAGACATAATTGGAGGGGAAGATGCCCACCTTGTTGTTCACCTTGCCAGCCCACCAGCCCTCATCTCCGGACACCTCAGAGTCCAAAGAGAGGACCTCCACTACGTCCCCTTTGCGTAACGTCAGCTCATCCTTTCCAGAAGCTTCGTAATCAAACAGAGCGGTCCATACCGGGTTGCTGAAGCTTCCCTTCTGAGATTCCTCCAGACTCTTCCAGTGAGCCAGAGGGCCGCGGGTGAATATGCTCTTCAGCGGCTCCATGGAGGGCTCTTTTTGCGCGAGGGGGCTCAAAACGTGATTCGGTTGGCCGAATCCACTGGGATGTAACAGGTGTGATCTTTCCAGCGCCTCTCTCCCTTTCCAAGCCCTCTATGAGGCTCATTAGGGCCTTCTGCACCCTGCTCCAAGGCCAAGCAGCGCACTACCACGCAGCCATGGTCAGCCAGAGCACTCCTCAGTAACACCCCAACACCTGTGGACATGGAGATCACAGACCTATGGCTCCATTAAAGCAACCACTTTTCGAAATCCAGTCTCCAGGCCAGAGGAACTCAAGAGATCTTGCGTACGTGCCAACTTGGAAAAGGCCACCCAGACTCCATGCAGCTCCCTCAGGACTTACTTCTGAGCTGTAAAAATCACTGAAGGAAAATGAGCGCGCCTCGCATGCAAAATGTCTCGACTCGGCATCAGAAATGATGTTAATGAACAAACCAAGGAACTGCTGACCATCCGAACGTCAAAAACGTAGGACGGATGGTGCACAAGGCGCAAGACCAAAGCAAAGGAGACCAGAACGTATCCAAAAGCAAAAGCAAAGATGGATGAGTTTCTGAGTGAATGGAGGAGGAGGGGGGACAAAAAAAGTCCAGTTAGTTGTCCATTTTGAGTAGTCAGTATTTTTAGCCGTCCAGTGCTGTGGTCAGTCCGAGCAGGAAGCGCAGAGGCGCGCAGAAGAATGGCAGGAAAGGAGCGCTCAGAGTGCGCCAGCTCAGAGAGAGAGAGAGAGAGAGAGAGAGGGAGGGAGACAGAGAGAGAGAGAGAGAGAGAGAGACGACTTTTTATTACTTTCTATATAAAAAGCGTCTCACTAAAACATCGAACCGAGCCGAATGATTTTATTTCTGCCATTCTCCCCTCGCAGACACTCCGCGCGCGCTCTCTCGCGCTGTTAGCCACGGCGACAAAAAAAAAAAAACACTTCGCCGCCACAAAGTTTGAACAGGAAGAACTTTGTCCGCTCTGTTTATGAAGACCAGAAACGAGCTCTGGCGGCCAGCGTCTCTTTACCTCGCCTGGCCTTCGCGGATTTCACTCCGAAACATCCGACCTCGTCCTCCTTTTCAGCCGAAAGCAGCCAATTATCCAGCCGTGCCGAGTCCTCCGCGCCGCAGCCAGTCCTCTTCCCGTTGCCCGTGTAGTCGAACCACTCTACGTTGCTGCGAGTAGGCAGACTGGAGGGTGGGGCTTCGCGTCTTTCCTCTGGCCGCTGTCCAATATGCGCACTTGCGTCCTAACTAGCAGGCACTACAAGTGCGTAGAACGCTCAAACCAGCGCGTACGATTCTGGACGCGCACCTGCTGAGAGAATTCAAAGGGCAATTCAACCGACTTTTCAAAAATTTTTGCAAAGTTTTGTCTTTGCGATGTAAACAAGGTCATTCAGAGTGGTTTGATATGAAACGGTGCGTTGTAGAGAAACGTACAGACTCAGGGTTCTTTACAGCGCTGGTGATAGGAACCAGAATGTCTGCAACACAAATACAGCCATTTTATTTACTATCCAAAACCACCAATGAGCCACACATGTCCTCTGAGTTCTACATGTAATGTATAACAGCGGAAAATCAGGGGACTATTTAGTCTCACAACGCCCTCCAACACGAATGGATTCAAATAAAAGGACCAACCAGACGTTTTAGGCCAAAACTTTATCACAAGACTATCATAAAACATTGTGTCAGGCATCAGGCAGTGTTTTTCCATAACCATTCTGTGTAATAACTTTCTGTGAGGGAGCTTTTAGACATCTGGGGGTGTTACCGAAGCTTATCTGTTTAGTCACCATGACAGTTTGAGTTAGGACTGAATTTAGGACAGAAGCTATAACAGAACAGCAGTTCTTCAGTTAATAATCTTATCCTAACTCCAAATGAGAAAACGGTGTTACAGAAACATCCTAACTAGACTTTACAGTGTGTTCCAGTGATGGTGGTGAATCATGAGGAGTCAGAGCTGAACACGTCTGTTTGTTAGGAGGAATAACGTAAGCACGCTCGGCTAAAGCGTTTGGGAAATGAAACTAAAACTCTTTTCTCTAGAACAGAGCATTACCCACCAATTGACTCTGAATGACTTTGTTTACATCTTAACCATTTAATTATGTGGAACTTTTGAAACATTGGTGGATTTCCCCTTTTAATGATCCATCTTTTTTCGCCATAGTTGCTACATCCGTCAAACTATAAGCTCAGTCTTGCTGGCAGCGTCCGAAACTCTTGTGCTAACAGACATTTCTTTTTTACAAGAAGTCCCGTGCGGACATAAACAGGTGAATGCAAAAGTTTGGGCACCCCTGGTCAAATGACATGTTTTGCTGATTTTCTAAGTGAAAATAAGTGAACGCATTCCCTACATAGAACACTCTTCTGCACATTTTAATGCACAATTACTGTTCAATTCCACTGATTTTAACATATTGGGGAAAATAAAACAAAAAAAAAAAGTGGACTGTGCAAAAGTTATGGCGCATATGGGCCTATTTATGCCTTTTTCCCCTTTACATTACATTTACATTAATATTCATCTTTACACACCATATTTTTAATCACATGTAAACACTGTAGAGTCCTGTTTAATCTGACTGATTTATTAAGCCAACATTAGAAGCCAAGCTGGGAAAAGCTAACTAGTTAGCCAGCTGATCTTAACATGGTTCTGTTCCGTTATTAATCTGTAGACATGATATTAAGATCAGTTTTTGCCAATACAGTAACCCAGATAAAGTTGAGCTCACCTTAAAGCAGGTTTAATTCGGTCTATAATAGCTCTGTCACTGAGCAGTGAGTTAGGATTAGTTTAACCCAAAACTTTCTCAGCTACAGGACTTAAATAGAACAGCTCCACCCTTCAGTGTATGTCATTCCTCAGAAACACCTTTCCACATTTACTACTCTAATAATTCAGACTAATTTACTGCCACTTCTATTCTCAACTCGCTTGTTGAAAATTTTCCTTCATTTGGCGAATATTTAGACATGACTGTGATTGGCTGAGGAGTGTGTCAATCATCATTTTGTGGTCAATTCATATCTAATAGAACGCAATAGCTAAGGGTTCTAGGCACAAACACTGTTAAAGTCCCACAGTGTACACTTCACTACCCAGTTCATACCGTATATATACATATATACACACACACACACACACACATACATATATATATATATATATATATATATATATATATGTATATATATATATATATGAAATTGTAGTCTGTTTTGAGGTCATTGCTTTTGTAACATCATAAAAACCAACACATCTGCATATATCCACCTATTTAGTCTACAGCAGTTTAGCCCCACCCATTCACACTGAAGTTATAAGGAGTGTTTCAGCCCAGACTGCTTTTAAAATGAGGCACAGTGGACAGCCAATCAGAACAAAGCATTTACAGATGTAAATCTTACAGGTACAATAACAAAAACAGCCTGTTTAATTCTTAGGAATAGGAAGGTTGGAAAATTGGAAAATAGTCATGTAAAAATGATACACAAACATCATCAGTGGACTGCAGGGGAAAAAAAGAAAAGAAAAATGTAGGAAATGGTATGGTAATAGTAATAATAATAATATGAAGAAGAAGAAGACTTTTGCACACTAGAAAATAATTGTATATTACATATATCATAAAATACAAACACGAATACTGTATGTATTGTATTGTATGTATATTGTATAATATATACACACATAATTTCACCTTTAAAATAAGGTATGCAAAAACTGCTGCTCTGGATTCTTAAGTTAAGGTATTGGTATCAGCATGTTAATGTTGAGGGATACCCAGCCCTACCCATGACACGTCATTTTTGTTTGTTTTTACATGGCAAAAGCAGGTCTGGAGTCCGTTATGAAGCCCAGCTAGCACTCTCCTAGCCACCAGAGGGCAATGTTTGGCTCGTTGTGTTTGTAGGAAAAGCTGCTTTTCCATCCTTAAACCCTTTGATGGCTCTCCACAGTGGCCCTTTGTTGTTAGGCTGTATCCCAAATCACTCACTGAACTCTTTCCCTTAATTCAATAGTGCAGACTTGGTTACAAAGTGACAGAAAGTGTAGGAGAAAACAATAGTTTGCCAGTCTATTAAACTGTGCTATATCACTGCTGTATACAGCAGTCTGTTGAAAGGGTTTAAGGGTGAAAGCAGAAGTCCTTTCTGTCCCTCTTACCTCATTTTTAAGGGTTAAAAACATACTCTCACACACACAGCTGAGTCATCATTTCTTCAGGAAGGATGCAGTTGTTTTTGTGGCCCAGTAGCAGCGCCAGGTCTTACAATACGTAAAAGGAGGAACAGATAGAGAATGGGAAGCACATGAAACTGTCATGACTCAGTCTCTCTGCACAACTGTGCAATAGACTATGCTTATTCTTTGTTGCTGTTGTCGTTTTATTATATATTATATCTCCATTGTGTGGAATTGTCCATTGTTTATGACAGGGTTGCCCAAAGTGTGGCCTGTGGGCCAAAGTTTGCCAACGAGGACATCTGATTTGGTCCACCAGAAACATTTCTCTAGCGCCCCACTCCCTCACACAAAGAGAGAACACATGAATACTACATATATGACATATTCGATTCCTTTTTGATCTTCTACTTTTTTGTGTTTTTAAAGTATTTTAGTAAAAAAGTAATGTATTGTTATTAAATACAGTGCTGTGCAAAAGTCAGAGGCCACACTTTCCATTTATTTCCAGTCAAAACGGCCTTTAGTACAAGTTATTTATTTTTCAGGAGATTCAATTAAAAAAATCCCCTTGCATAAGGGAGGAGAAAGGCAAAAGAAAAAAATAAACAGGAGTTCAGAAAATGATTAAAAGCTTGAGAGAAAATGAGACTCCTAACAACCAGGCAAGACCTGGTAGACCACCAAAACTGACCCCATCAGATAAACAGTACTTAAAGCTTTCATCTCAGAGACAGAGGAGAAAATCAAGCTCCACTCTTGATTCAGATCTGAAAACATCCCCAGTATTTCTGTCCATCCTCATGTGATTACTTGGATGGTGAGAAGCAGAAAGTGCAGCCAACTTCAAAGCAGATGTCTTTGACAAATTGAAAGTGAAACTGAAATGTGAGATATACATTTTTATACACACACACATGTGCACACACACACACAAATATATATATATATATATATATATATATATATATATATATATATATATATATATATAAATCCGGCTGTTTTGACTGGAAATCTAATAAATAAAAGGTCTCAAATATTTGCACAGAACTGTGTATGTCGACAAACACAAGACAGGAAGGAAAAAAGGTATTGCCATCATGAATGTAAAGCAGTTTGCATTGGCAGAACAACCAGAGACACATCAGACTGAAACAAAAACCAAGAAAATAAATGGAAAGAATTTTGAACTGAAAGAATAAGTAAGAAAATGGATCCAGGACTGGAGGATTTTGACAGTTACAATGTGTTGGGCCTTAAGTTGTGCTTTTGTAAATGGGAAAATCACCTATGTTGAATAAAAAGTCAGCAAAGTTCACATTTTGAACATCAGCACAATGAGTGAAACAAGCTTCTCCTTTAGAGGAAGCAGTGAAGCTGTATTATATCATCACTGTTATAATCACACTCTGTATGGGTAACAATAAACGTTTGCAAGGTTATGACAGATTAAATATTCCTGGTGGTGACATTTGCAGGCTGTAGGCTGAATAAGTGAATATTAATCATTCTGCTGAATTGGTTCAAAGTTCAAAACACATTTTAAACTTTTTAATTTACTTGGACTTCAGACTACAATCCTTTTGCTTTGAGTGACTAATTCCATTAAAGTAAATGATTCAACATTCCATTTTGTCACTACCAAATCACAACACCACCAAAACACCGCCAAATGTTTAGTACTGACCATTTTAGCTAATTTTGAGCAAACTCAAAGGTGCTAGCCAACACATGACACAGCTTTGAACAGTTGTACACACATGAAATCATGTTTTTATTAAAAAAAAAAATCAAGGTTTACTTAACTACAGGAGGTGTTGTTTTCAGTAGTGACAATTCTGAAAGCTACACACTGATTTTCAGACTTTAGGACACATTTACTTCACAACAATGGGGTCAAACTGCTCACCATGTGGCCATGAGGGACAGAGATACAGACTCACTTCCTGCTCTAAACTGCAGGGGTG